TGTCTCAAATGTATACGCCAAAAGGCGTTTGCTACAGGATCCCGAGCGACATTTGGCGTATACTTTTGAGACGCCTTTTGGCGTATAGATTCTAGACATCTTTTCCCATACCATTCCCACAGCACAGCCCAGGCTGCCCGTGCATGCAGATGCAAGGGTGTACAGGATGTGAGCGCCTTTCAGGGTGTATGTATCAAAGGGCCTCTGCTGTGCTGTGGGAACGGTATGGGCAAAGGTGTCTAGAATCTATACGCCAAAAGGCGTCTCAAAAGTATACGCCAAATGTTGCTCGGGATCCTGTAGCAAACGCCTTTTGGCGTATACATTTGAGACACCCCGAATTACAGTGTAGAGAGAGAGAGAGGGAGGGAGAGAGGAGTGCGCTTATTAAGCAGGCATTGAGCATTGAGCCGGTCATTGTTTTGCCGTTTGGCACACTTATGTCGTAAGGTATCTCGGCGTGCATGGGGGGAAATAAAAAGGTGATAGGTGTGGGGTGGAGGTGTGGTGTGGTGTGGTGTGTCATGAGAGAGGTGAGCTCGGGATCGGGGTGAGAAAGGAAAGGGCACTTTGGGGGACACCTCATCGCATACAAAGCAAAATAAGTCGACTTAGTCTGATAACTTTCAATAAATCAAATTTTGAGAAACATGAAATTTTCTGACTCGGAGACAGTTACTTTTGCCATTTTGATAGCAATATCTTTGTGATTTTGGACGACGCGCAGGGCCTATTCAGACGGATGGCGTCCTCCGCTCTGCCGGTCCATCGCCACGTGCCGCTGAGTGAGAGACGATGCGTGCTGCTGATGAGTGGGAGTAGGAAGACACACACACACACACACACACACACACACTCATTACTCTCGGACAGACCCGCTTTCTCCTCTCCCACGACACATCACACACCATCGTACAGACATCGTTAGACAACGAGGGGGTGCGGGGGAGATGGCGATAGTTAAAGAAGGAGTCCTGGGAAAAAGAGGAAGTTTTATTTTGTCAGCAATGAAATCGACAGTGAAAAGATTTGCAAAAGGGTAAGATGAATTTCAATGTTTAATTAAAAAACAACAAAAAGGAATGGTAGTATCCACTGAAAAATGTTCGTGGTTAGTTAAGCACGGGAAATCTATCATGAGAAATACAACTTCAAAAAGTAAAATTTAATTATTTTCATATCGACTTTGTTTTCTTAGACGAGCACATATGGAAATCCAAGAATGTAAATTCTGCGCACCAGCAGGTGCAGTGGAAATAATCACACACCTTCAGGTGCCCGACAGGATACCACACCCCCAGAAGTGCGAATGACTAGTCACACACTAGGTAAAGGGATCGCACCCTTCACAAGCATATTAATCTCTATTCGAATAGAGCGCTCGCTCACTTATGTGTGAATAATTTGGTCCACACCCACAGGTGTGTGACATTTGTAATGAGTTACCGCAAATTTACAACATCGTTTGTAATTGCAGGTTAGCGAAAACTATTGCAAGTTTGCCAAAAATTTTGCAAATTTACCAAACTTGTTACTGTATTTAGGCCCTGCTGACAAATGTGTGCCTGCAACGCCATTAGATCGTAGCGGGCGAGGGTTGCCACGCGAGTCCTGTGTACGCGCTGCCAGAAGGTGCACGTGTATTAAAACAGCTGCTGTAGAGAGAGCCCGCCACCCCCACCCCACGTTCCCCTTCACTTCCCCAAACCGAGCACGGCGGCGGCGCGGCGAGCTTGGTCCGGCCCGGGATGAGCCTTGTGCGTGCCGCGCGCCATTGTGAGGGCCGTGTGAATCCCGGTAGGAATCTGTGTTTACTCTCCCTGACCCACTCAATGGGATGCGGCGAACGAGAGCAGAGCGTAAGGTAAGTACTTCCCTCTCTCTTTGTCCCCATCAGTCTTGAGCACCCCTCGCTCCTCCCGCCGAGCCGAGTATACGGGGTCATCGGCCGCAACCCTTCCAGATGGGGTAAAGGGGGGAGGGGCGTGCTCTGCGAGTAAACCGACGCCTTATGCACAGACACACGCGCAAGAAAAATCAAGGGGATAACTCTTCAGCTTTCATCTCGTTTTGCTATTGTATCCGTTCAAAACCCAGGCATATTTTTTTTTCAAGATTACGGCAAGTGCTTTGGAGCAGAGGGGGAGACAGGGAGGGGAGAGATAGGTGGGAGGGGAAGTGGGAGCAGAAGGGGGATATCACGGGGGCGTTCAATTTAATCGGCTTTTGGGCCGCAGCGTCGCGCGCTGGGACTTAAACCCGCGGTGCATGGGCGCGCCTAGACGCCGGGGATTGGGACCGCGGGGGTGAAGCCTTCCCAGAAAATATGAAGGACGAAAGATATTTTAAACAATTACCTCCTTGAAAAACATTGAAGAAAAGATTATTGTGAATTAAATATGGCGCAGAATGAAGACAACAGTTAACCAACTTTTCAGCTCTAAACACTTTCAAGTGTTTAGAGTAGAGTTGTTGTGCACAATTGTGCAGACTCGACAGTTATGCACTTTTAATTGTTCATCCCCCCAAGTTGCACACTTGCCCGGTAATGCGCCCAAGCCAAGGTACTGTGCAACTGGGCAGTTGAACACTTGGAAGCGCACAATTGGAGGGTAGCACACTTGCTAGTGTTTAACTGGCATGTGCACGATTGCTAAAGAGTTGAACACTTAGACTTCCAGGAAAAAATATACTCGATGGTCCGGTGGTCACTGTGCCCCGTTGAGCAAATTTTCAAGCAAATGCGTGTACTAGACGGCATGCAGACGTGAAGACGGGTTGCCTAGCAGCACGGGGCCATGAGGTGCCAAAACTGGAGACGATCAGGTAAGCAACCCCGTCCGCACCCGAGCATGAGAGCTAATATCGGACACGACCGGTTACACATTTGCTCTAACGAGTAACGGGGGCACGATGACTACCCGGAGTATTTTCGTTTTCCGATTTTTCGAAAGAGCTTGTAACAGTGTGCCGGGTGAACCTCACACTTGTGGTGAGCCGGACAAATGATGGACGGATGTAATGGGCAGCGAGAGGCAGAGCCACGCACATCTTATCGTATTTAGAGTAAAGTTCTGATCAGGTTCATAGGCAAACTGCTGGCTGGCTAGGGAGACAATTAAGACCTGTTTGGATGTTCGCTCAGCAAACACGCGAGCTGGAGCCAGATGAGAGGAGACGCTGTTGCCACATAGGTCAGGTCAGACCGCCCTTTGGGGCCAGCACAATGGGGACCTCGAGCAGCAGAATTGAGTTTTCGCAGCCTAGTCTCATCGCTGACCTTTAACACTTTTTGCGCGGGTGAAGTACGAAGCTTGAAGAATAATAACTGTCTGTCGCACTGACAAGTGAGCCCATTGCAATGCCAATGACTTCTCGCGCAGTCTCTGTTTTATTCAGGACTCACCAAATAGCAAAAATGTAAAATGTGCAGCACGATTGCATTTAAAAAGTGATAGACGGTAGGAAAAGATTCCCAGGAGAGATGCTATGCCCTCCACTCCACCCCGCCGCGGGAGCGGTAAGGCGCTGCGACGCCTGTGAGGCCCCGCCACGCCCCGCCACGCCACGCTCCCTCGCGCCGCGCGACAACATGGCGTGCCCATGTCTGGATATGAAAGCAGTCTCATACCGGTCGCCTTGTCTTCCCTTTCCGCCTGATGTGAGCAGAGCACACATCGTTACATCTCCCTCGACGCCCCCTTCTCTCTTCCTTTCTTGCAGCCCCTCAGCCCCTCACCCCCCCCCCCTCCCTCTCCCTCCCCTCCACACACGTGCCTGTCTGACGTGTCGTTCCTAGTCACTTGCAGCAATTGTCTCGAACACTTTCATAAGGACAATGCGGCCAACCCTTAAAGGAGAGGCTCGTACGAGATGTGTGGGGAGCGGGAGGCGGGCGATATAGGGACACTACTGGGGCACATCAGAGGGTAGGAGAGAGTGGTGGGGAGGGAGCAGAGAGAGACAAGCGGCATTGAGATAGGCGGGCAGTGACAGCAGCAGTGTGTGTGTGGCGGGAGGTTCAATTAAATGTTGAGTCGTTTGACGAATGGCATCGATCAGACATCACACTAACGAGCGGTTGTAACGCCCTACGGAGAGATATCGGTTCGTCACGGAGCCGCGAGGCGCTGAGGCAGGCAAGTCATTTGGTTAAAGCCGGTCAAACACCGCCGTCACAGGGCTTGCCTGGCGCTTACTTAGCCTCAGTCTCCCCCAACCCGCCTACAAGAGAGCGGCATGCAAGAATGTAAGCGAAACGCCCAATGGCACACGTATGTTCCCATGAGTGAGTAAACTGACGGCCACAATAATTAAAGGTTTAAGGTTAGTGCGAGACGATAATAACGAAAAAACAACAACAAACACGGGATCATGTGAGCACATTTCGGTCACAGCGTGCTTCGGGCCTCGTCATTGCAACTCCGCCCCGTGCAGCGAGCGCGTACTGTAACTGGCGACTCACCTGTGTCAAGCTGGGAACTGCCTCCGCGCTGTGGTGTCCACTTCCACAGGACTGAGGACCCTCCGAGGGATGCTTGCTTATCCGACTCCTCCGAAAATAATCCGGCCGGTCAGAGACCCTCACGGCCGCTCCTGAGCCCGCACTGACACGCGCGGGGGAGTACCGCGACCGGCGGCAGCGCAGCGTCGTGCTCCAAATAAATTATCCGTGGCAACCGCGCTGTCCTCGCACTTTGGGGCGGCGGTCCGATGATGGTCGTCCGCACTCGCACAAACACAAAGACCTCCGCACACTCACTTCAACTTCAAAAAGGGTTATTACGACACTGACGCTGAAAGACAAACGCCCCAAGAAGGAGTTGTCTCGCTCGCGATCAGTTCGCGTCTCGCACCACGCCGCGTCACTCCGCTAGAACGACCACCGCGAAGCGCGTCCCGACACGTCCAGACTGCACGGCTGCCGGCAAGTGACTAACTGAACTGAACAACTGTTCCTCCGCGCCGCGCTCCGCTCCGCTACTCCCACCGCGCCGCCGCCGGCCGGCCGCATCGCGGGGAGGGGGGGGGGGCTGCTTCACGTGTCGGCGCTACCCCTTCCTCACGCCCCGGTGACGTGCGTGCCCCGCGCGCCCCGCAAAGGTGTCATTAATGAGTGAGATGGATTCCAGCCAATACCAGCATCTCACATCAGAGAGTGTGCACCGGCCGTACCGTTGCTTTGTAAAACCAACCCGACCACCACCACCACCACCATCACCACCAACGCCCCAACCCGACCACCACCACCATCACCACCAACCCCCAAACCCGACCACCACCACCAACCCCCCAACCCGACCACCACCACCATCACCACCAACCCTCCAACCAACCCGACCACCACCACCATTACCACCAACCCCCAAATTCCCTTTTTCCATGTCAAGTACTTGCAAGGAGCTAAGTCGAGAGAAAACACGAGATCTAAAAAACCGAAAAAACAAACGAGAAGAGCGAGGAAAGAGGGGAGGGGGCAGGTTGTTTTTTCCCTCTGATCCTTCAGTCTTGGGGACTGTCAAAAAGTAGCCCACTGGGCTCAAGAAAGACAGTCCACTCGACAAGGCCACAGGGGGCTTAGCGGGGGTGCGTCAAATCGCACCCAACCTTAGCTCATCCACCCATCCATCCATCCCTCCATATACCCACACCGAGGGCGAGCTTCTCGCGGAATGCTTGATTTTGTCAGCACAGCGATTGTTTCTACCAGAAAACACAGTTTCTGTTTTTAGGATCCACGTTACCTATGAAAAAGCAGCTCGCAGCGGTTCGGTTTCTGTTCAGTTCGGTTGGATGGAGGGATGGATGGGTGGATGAGCTAGGTTGGGTGCGATTTGACGCACCCCGGTGTGCAGCCTGCCAAACACCGCCGAGCGGCCTGCCCTGGAGCTGGGAGCGTGGCTGGGGGGCGATCAGCACCTTCTAAATCTGCTAAAACAGGGTTAGGGAAGTCGTGGAAAACCTCTTTTCCGGGAGCTCTCTGATACCCAGCCTTCTGCCCTGTGCTGCATGTAGGAGGCGGGGGTGGGGGCGGGACTGTCGAAAAATACTTTCAGACAGAACAATAAGTGTACCATTTCCTGAACACTAGTACCACGTTCACAGTGAATAGAAGGAAGGGGAGAGGGGCGTCAGTGTGAACACAGTAAACATACTTCCAAGTCGCAGTCGTTTCGTCTGCACGACGTACACGCTAGAGATCGAGGGGGGGGGAGGGGGATTTCGCCCGTTCAGGAACCAGGCCGGTGACTGTCCCTAAATGGAGAAGGGGTTATCGGAGGTCGAAAAGTTGAAGGGCCTCTTTGACGGTGTGCGGGCTCTGGGCTCCAGCGAGCGGCGTCTGATAATATTTCAATTTATGATAAGAATACCGGTACACGCTATGCGCACCGGCATGCGAAAGCTAAGATGAAGCAAGCCACACCGGGCATCGTTCATCTCGCAGAGAAAATCCCGAGACGGACCAGGAGGAGTGAGAGGGAAAGGGGGGGGGGTACATCACAGAGGTCCGAGAATGGGGTGCGTAGGCGCCTCACATATCAGCTCCAATGCTGAGGTAAATCGCCTCATAGCTTTTGAGACTTTTGAGGACTGCGATTGGCTTGCCAGCCAAGGGCGAACCAATCAGGGCACTCCACCATTCGATAGAGCCAAAGAAGAATAGGACCCACTCTAAACTCTGCACAAGTACCCCCGAGTTCCATGTTCCATCTCCGAACCGAATCGAGCGACCGCGGGGCGCGGGGAGTACCTTCTGCTGCCTCACACAAGGCATTATCCACTTTTGCCAACTGTGGAAACTAGTTTTACCAAATGAAGGCTTCTAAAAGTCGGAGTTTTGACCATGCATAGTATTGAGATTCATTTGTAATTGAATATATGAAATAAATTTGCTTCAGAAGAGAAAACGGTCCGAGGGGCAAGTTAAATGTTGGCATAGACAAGCCAGACAGAACTGGATTGTGGGAACGGTGGTAGCACGGTGGTTCTGAGCTCTCTTGTCAGAAGGAAAAGATGAACACGTAAACGGAAAATTGTTAAGGTTTCTATTTGGCGTCTGCTGTGTTGTCACGTCGTTAAATTCAGTATTCATCCATTTAATGTTGTAAACTAGAAGACTTTATACGTTTTCTTGTGATATTTCAAAATGCATTCCGTTTTCGGTCGTGGAAACGCCATGGCGGCGTATACATTGAGTGTGTTAGCCGGTCTAACGTTTTGCTGTTTTCTGTCAACTGTATTCCTCGATTACAGAACTCCAGCAACCATTAACACAAGACAGGTTGTAGTGTAAGTAATATTTACCCCTCATTGTTCACTGTTGGCTCACTATTTCCGTTTTCTTTTCTTCTATTAGTTTAGCTTTCAGGTTATGTGTCATCTACCACAATATGTCCATGATTTTACTAGTATTTTGATTTTACTGTTCACATCATGTTTTTCAGGAAAAGTATTCCAGATTACAGTGCTTCCAGGGAAAAAAATGATTTGGGTTATGTGACTTTTGATCTGAAGACTGATATCCTTTTCTTTTGCTTGATAACATGCATAATGAATAATTAACATCTTAGAGTAGTTTCTATTATTTGACATTCGTATTATTTGATTTATTAGTGGTACATTCCTTAACCGTTTAATACATCTCACGCATCTCTTTAATTGGAATGTGAAACAGTTGTTCCTCTATGTCACAGCTGAGTACCAAACTCCAAGTAATGAGTTCAATCAGGTTAGTACCTCCTTTATTTATTTTTTTGTGATACTTTTGTCATATTTGTTCAAGTATCTAATTATAATTTCTCCTGTAGGTTGTCCTTTGGGATAAAATAATTTTACGAGGAGAGAATGCTGTAATTGATCTTAAGAACATTCATGCAAAATACTATTTTTGGGATGACGGCAATGGTCTCAGGTGAGTCACATTTCTGAGATACTTCTTTATATTTTTAGTTTGTACAAGGCTGATGTTATTCATTCTCTTTTTTCTTTGTTACTTAGAGGTCACAAAAATGTCACCCTCACACTTTCCTGGAACATTATACCTAATGCTGGACTGCTTCCAAATGTGGGCGCCATTGGCTCTCATTCATTTTCTTTCCCACCTGAATACACTACCTCAAGAGTTTAGTGTAATTGTTCTGAGTATTTGTGTGTTAGCTTGCGTTTGCAAGTGTGAATGTGATACTGTGAATTGTGTGTATACATTGCATGTGCAATTCTGACTTTTTGATCTGTGTGAATTTTGTCATTTAAACTAAGGTGTGTCTCCCAGAAAAGGTATCCATATTAAAACAAACAACAAAAAAACTGACTCTTCTCCAAATTAATTGCTCACTCATAATAGTGAATTGTTTTATTTTTTTATTGTCAGTAGAAAGTAAACTTCCAAATCATTGTTAGGCCTGTCCATTTATCAAAAGTGCCATGACAAAAGCCAGGAAAGAGAGAGCACTTACTTTGGCTTTTGTTGAGCTGTTTGGGCCTGGTATATAGATGTGACAGGGTCGATTTTCTTGAGGATCACAGACACAAACCACATTTCTATAAGTTCCTTTCTGAACAGCAACGCAGCCATATGTCAAGGGATCAGAATTTTCCAGTGTCACCCTAGTGCAATAAGCTGTGAGGTTTACCACTGCAATTTTTAAGGACTTTAAATAGTTTTTCAAATATGAGTTTATTCAAAAATTATTTTACCTAAGCATACCTTTTTCATTGAAGAGAAATGCAACAACAGCACAAATGTCGCCTATACCCGGGTCACACAGAACTGAATTGTTAAATGTATCAGCTACAGTTATTGAACCATTAGGAAGGGTCGGGAGACTGTATCCTGCGAAGAAGAACTTGTTTCCACTCAGAAAGTATGCTAGGGATGGGGTCCTAAAATAAACCTTGGGAGCATCAAAAAATACCTAGCTCATTCACCAAGAAGGGCTCAATGCAGGGAATAGGTTTTGGTTTGGGGTACTTTGCACAAGTGCGGTTGCTTAGTTGCATATGGTTTTGTAGCTCTCCCACTAACTCATTGGGAGCAAAAATTCTTCGGGAGTTGGGCCCCAACCAGGAAAATTGAAGACATGACTTCCCCTTTGCTGTGATGAAACAAAACTATGTTATGTCGGCAGGGGTCGTGAAGTACACCATGTAGGTAATGAATCTGATGTTTATTTTTTGTTATTACCTGATACGCTGCTGATACACAGCAACGTTAACAGACAGACTCCCCCAAACGTGGCTTTCCTCATTTGTATAACCGGCATATCTCATCACGCAGCTCAGACACTGCGAGCAACTGATAATGCATCCCGACATCACCTTGACTATACATCCAAAAGATAAGCAAATCAATAGCCTACCTGGATTAGTGCGGCGATAGTCAGTATCACATGAAGAAAAAATAATAGTGAAGACTCGAGTATGCATAATCTGACGCATTTCACCTATATCCCAATCATCTGGTCTTCCGGGCTCGCTGTTATCTTGAGATGTGTCGGTTTTTGTGTGCTGTTCAAACCGTAGAAGTCTTCCCGCTTTTGGTTTTCGACTGTCGACTGTGTGCCACAACCCACCCCCAAAAAATCATTTTTTAAAAAAGTTATCCAACTATTTGTGCACGATTTTCTGCCGGAATATACGTCTTAAAGCCCGTCCGAGATTGGTTCATTGTTGTTGTTTCATAATAAGTAGCTACGCTGTAAACGAAATGACCATCTTTTTTATTCCTGCTGTTGGCAGTTTGCAAGAAACGAATGTATGAAAACTTTTTACAATTGCAATCTTAATATGTTTGTTGTGCGTCGTACCAAACAACATTTACACATTTACATCTGTCTCTCTCGCTCCGCCCGCGGGCCTGTCCAGATAGCGACGGCCGTAGGCCGTAGCGCCGTAAGCCGTCACGGCCGTACGGCCGTGACGGCGCCACTGACACCGCGCGTGGCGCGGTTTTTGAATAACATCCAAAACAACTTAGTTTCCTTGATGATTAGCGAAAATTTAAACTTGTCGACACAGGCATAGCTAGTGTGGGGTGATAAAAGGTGGGGAAAATATCTGCAAGTAGTCATCAAGTAGAAAAATACAAATTTTCTGATCTCATGCCCAACCTTGTCACCAACGCCTCTCTTTCATCGAGGTGTATACGCTGGTGCATGATACCTGATTTTTGTGCTATCTGCGTAATCAGATTTAGTTGTTCTGACGTTGCACTGCGTTGCAAAATGTTTATTAGACGATAACTGTCGAAGAAATCAAGTTGTTTTAGATGTTATTCAAAAATCGCGCCGCGCGCCGCCGGTGGCGCCGTCGCGGCCGTACGGCCGTCACGGCCTGCGGCGCTACGGCCTACGGCCGTCGCTATCTGGACAGGCCCCGCGGGATCACCCTGCGTCGCCCGTGTCGCAGCCCGCATCGAACATCTGCTGTCAAACATGGCTGAAAGTGGGTCGGATTGCAGCCCACCGAACGAGCCGTACAAAATAGCACACTCAGGCCCTCGAGTAGTGACAATTACAAAGACTGAAACAGGATTTGGCTTCAATGTTCGTGGTCAAGTTAGTGAGGGAGGACAGCTTCGAAGTATCAATGGCGAACTGTATGCGCCCCTTCAGCATGTCAGCGCCGTCCTGGATGGGGGCGCAGCCGAAAGGGCCGGGGTGAGAAAAGGAGATCGGATTTTACAAGTGTGAGTATTTCCTAGGTATCTAGAATTCTATTGCTCGTTGTTTTTCGTAATTTCGTTGGGGTCCTTTCACCACATACGCAATACTAGTAACAGTCCTGGTGCCTTGTCTGAATCTGAACCAGCAACCTATGTTGTTATGATTTGTTTATTTCTTATGCTGCCCTAAAACTAGTTATATCCGATTCAATTTCAGCATTTTATTGCTAAAATGATATTTACACACATTTTCACTGATCAGTCGTCCCTAATGCACTGTGATTCTAAATGATGCAGTGCGAGGCTTAATTTTCACAAAAGACTCGTATCACCTTAAGCTGTCAGATCTTTATCATCTTAACTTCTTGCCTTGTGATGTCATTTCTTGTTAGTGTTATTTAATACAAGATTTCTGTTAAACATATCAGTTAAATTTTCTACTTTTCTTCACATTACAAACATTTTATTTAGCTTTGTCATTTTCTCAATATACTTATTTCAACTTCAGTGCATAACTTAATGTTTTTATTTGAGACATACACATCATTTCTTACTCTATAATTGAATGTTACTTTGGTTTTAATTCAGAACAGTCAAAATATTCCATGAGTCTATTGTAAATATATTTATTGTGTATGGACTTTGATCATTGATAAGTGTATTTGCCTTGGTATTTGCAGTCCAGTATTCTTTGCACAGTGGTTGTTCCATTCAAGATGAGACTTTCCCGCCACTTATTTTAATCCATATCAGTTTGATGTTGTCTACTGGGCTCGACTCGAAGAGGCATGTCAGAGAGCTAGGGAAGATGAAACAACTTCAGCAAACAGCCTAGCCACCCCGCAGAAAGGTCATGGGTTTAAACTAATGGTGGGAAAGTCCAGCCTCGAATTGGAGACCTTGCATATTGGATTATAATATATCATCCCTTTATATTCTAGCAGAATTTTTAATCTATGAATTACTGTTTTTCAGCAATAAGTTACTAAATGTCATTCACAATTTTACAGAAATGGTGAAAATGTTGAAGGTGCCACCCACAAACAGGTTGTAGACTTAATTAAGTCAGGAGGCGATGTTCTTACCTTAACTGTTATATCAGTAACTGCTCAAGAAGCGGAAAGATTAGAACCTACAGAAGAAGTTGCGGGCTACAACTACTTTGATTATAGTGAGAAACGTTCACTACCTATATCTGTACCAGATTATCATTATGTTGAAAAAAATGGTGAAAAGTTTGTGGTAAGCATCTTGGTATACTATTAAAAATAATTTATTCAATGAAAGTGATTTATCAGGGGTTTTACTTTCTATTCTTTAGGTGTTTAATATATATATGGCCGGAAGACACCTGTGCTCCAGAAGATATAGAGAATTTGCTAATCTACATATGTCTCTTAAGAAGGAATTTATTGGCTTTGCATTCCCAAAGTTGCCAGGCAAATGGCCTTTCAAGTAAGACTACATTCTTTTCCTGATTAAGAATGAATGCTATGGGCTGTCATAGGTACTCAAATTGTCAAAATTGAAACCAGCTTATTAATCTTGTGTTTATTTAATTTTTTCTCAGCTTGAGTGAACAACAACTTGATTCTCGGCGAAGAGGACTTGAGCAGTACATGGAAAAAGTATGTGCAGTTCGTGTAATAGCTGAGAGTGATATTGTTCAGGAGTTCCTTGCTGACACAGATGATGAGCTGGTGAGTTTTGTTCATTTTCAATATTTTTCATCTCCCACTTGTTTCTTTAAAAAGTTATTCTGCATGCTTGCTTTCTGCTAGATGGCTTTTTTGGTATTTTCATACTGACTGTTCTGCTTTCTTCATTCCCTCAAGCTGATCTTATGCTAAGAGTGCTGAAATACTTTTTTACTATTAGGATAAGTTAAGAACCCAAATCATCTTTGCTAATTCTGTACACCGATTTTTTTATTTCTGGCCAAGTAATGCTTATTTTTGTGCAACTTGATGGATCTCTGAATGAAAGTCGCTCAGTTTCTTGATTTGCAATAATTGCTTGTTTAAAACATGGTGAATGGGTCTTTTTGCAAGTGGGAGGTGGTTGATCCTTTCGACGACGTTTCATCTATAGTCTGGCAGATGGATCCTGCCAGTGATGGACGAGATACTCGTGCTTGCTCTGCTACTTTCTATACCGAGGACATTTGTGGTTGCGCGTGCCACTCAGTTTCTTCTCGTCTTTACCAAGAAGTTGACACATTTCGCCTTGAAACCAGCTTTTCTTAACATTTTTTTTCTTCGATGTAGTTCATATTTATCAAAGTTTCTTTCTATTTTTATACATAAGACCCTGTGCATTTTGCACTTTCTCTCATAACTTTCTTGCAGTTCCCTGCATCTGAATCATTAAAATCAAAGATTTACATTTACAAGATACGTAGACAAATTTGTCATAAGTATGTACGTTTTTATGTCATATTTTGGCATAGTCACTTTTTGTTTGGCTACTAATTTAGTACCAGTTTTCATTTGACTGAAGATTTTGATTTGATGGTAGTTTTTTCCTTTTGTCTTACAAATTAGTGTTGTTAATGTGCATGTGCTTTATTTGCGCTTACTTACCTCATGTTATAGACTTTTCCGATTTGCACTAATCAATTGTTATTACCTACTTACTTTTGTTGTGCTCAGGTAAGACGGCTAATACCTAATACCCTCAGATTACGATACAATTTATATATCTGTAATGTATTTACCTCTTGACTGTTCCTGCTAGAATTGCATCTCTAATGAACATTTGTCTTGATATTTTTTGATGAATAATTTTGATTGTAACTGTGTTACAAATTACTTTTTTTGTAGTACGTACTTATCAATGTAAATGTCTTGTGACCCTGGCTTTTCTGCTTTTTAAATTTATTCTCTTAAAATAGAAGACCTTAATAAAGCTTTCAAAGCTTGATGTAGATGTAACTTATTGACCTCTTACATCTTTTTCTTTTCATCGGAAAAATTGATGATATTGTTTGGCATGGACTTCTTGCCATCATGCATGTCTTACAACCTTCCCTATTCCACCTTACCATGCTTAGGGTATTAAATAGATTCCCCTTTGCATTTCTCATGTTTAAATAAAACTTGAAGTAATTATTACAAATTTGTACATTTTACCTAAAGTATGGGCTGATCATCTGTATCCTAACAGATTATTTTAAAATATGATAAATTTATTTCCTTTCATGGTAACATCTGGCAGCTGTAGTAGTAGTTTTGTTTATGTTCATTCACCTCTTACTTATTTATACAGAATTTTGCAATATCATTTATTTTTCTTGTCAATTTGGACTTTATACCACTTGTTCAGAGTTTGATTTTGTCTTGTTCAGGGAAATGGGTCTCCTGTGGATTTGAAAGTTCAGCTTCCAGACAAAAATGTGGTCACTATATCTATGCCTAAAAATGCACCTGCTGAGGTTGTGTTTCTTGCTGTGATTGAACGCATTCACTTGCAGAAGAGCTCTGCAAGGTTCTTTTATTTATTTGAAACTGTAGAGGATATGTTTGGTAAGTCAATGATTCCTGATCCTTCTACATGCCTTCTATGAGTTCACTGGTTAAACTTATTTGGTGAATTTAATGCTTACAGATCGCAAATTATTACCAACAGAATACCCTCATAATCTATACATACAGAACTTCACTACCGCTTCGCCAACATGTCTTTGCATTAAAAAGTGGTTATTTTCTTTGCCACGAGAACTTTCACTATCGAGTGATGACTATGCAACAACGTTTTTCTTTTGGCAAGCAGTTGAAGATGTTAATAGGGGACATGTGAGAGCTTTGGATCGTCTCTACCAATTAAAAGCTTTGCAAGATGCTTCTCGTAAGAATGAGGTAAGAAGGCGGCCATTGATTAGATTCTAAAAGTTCCCCACTGGTTTTTCTCCTCTTAGGTGTGAAATAGGTACTTATAATCGTTTTCTACATTTTCGGCAGTATCTTAGACTTGCGCGAGAGCTACCAGGCTATGGTGAAGTAGTATTTCCTCATTGTCCCTGTGATTCTCGTAAAGAGGGCCATGTCATGGCTGCTGCAGGAACTACTTCATTTAAACTACATGCATGTCGGAAGGATGGGGTTCTTGAGGTAATTGCACATGATTGTTATGTCAAACTAGGATCTCTTCAGTTCCCTTTGAAAACAACAATTGTTCCTTTTCAGTCCCAGGTTGTAGAATTTCTCTGGCCAGATATAAAGGAGTGGGAGATTGACGAAGAGACCATGGCATTCTGCTTTCAGTACCAACGGCCAGATAAGAATCCACGATGGGTCAAGATTTTTACACCTTATGTGAGTATTGTAATTCTTTTACCTCTTCACTGTCTCATTGATCTCTTTATTCGTACTTACTCATTGATTTTTGATGTGTCTGCATTTTGAGTTCATCCATGCCTTTGTTTCAGTACATCTTTATGTTGGAATGTTTTGATCGAATACTTGAGGAGAGTAAATGGGCTGACACAGGAGAATGAGATCCTACGTTCCCAAGTCTGTGATAGTACCTAGATTTAGTATAATGATGTCATGTAGACTGCTTTATTTTCTCCTTCTTCCCTCTGCTCTGACCTTATTTTATAATTTTAATTTTTTTTTTTTTTTTACACTTTGCATCACATTTTATCTACATACCATCTGAAATAATTGTTGTTATATTATTGTTGTTGAGTTGGAGGCTGTGAGTTTATAAATGTTTGGAACCCTGTGGGTGTTGTTATGACAATTTTTTCTATTGAGTGCAGTTTTTTTGCTTTAACAAAGAATATTTGTTGACGAAAATTTACTAGGTAATGCTGGGTTATCTCTTAATCATATTCCAGTTTCTAGGCTTTCTTATTCAGATTATTAAGTTAAATTGTGAATGCAAAACTGTTTTAAAGTGTTTAAAAGAGCTGCAGTATAAATATTCTTTCCCATGATAGTGCCAAGGGTGCCTTGGAAGGATAGTGTGTGAAGAGTGAGTGAACAGTTTTTGTGTCCACATACTGTATTTCTCTTATTTGTGTGTGGTACAGCCTCAGCAGGGAAATATCTTTTGAAATTCTGTGCCATCTTTGTAGAGTTCTGGCTGTGCTAGTTCCTAGAAGTGCTCTTTCAATACATTTTTATTACAACTCATTACAGTAGGAGATTCAAAATTTCAGTTTGTTATGATTCCCTACTGTCATATTTCTGAATGCATGCTACAGCTCACATTCAACATTGAAGTCACAGTGTGGTCAGAGTATGAAGATTGCTTTGATAAGTTTCCCTCAAGCTGGTGTTTACCATTGAACTCCTTAATTAAGCAGTTCAGGTTGATGATAGCCATAGTGAAAATAATGTCTGGTGAGTTTTGATCAATCATGCCACTCTCTACTTTAAAGAACATACTATCAGCCTTGAAATTTAAGAAATTCCAATTCCATCTTCTTCCCCTGCACATCAATGTGAAATTTATTCATTCTAAGTTATCATCATTGGCTGCTATGAACACAGTTGAACACGATTCGCTTAGATCAACTTATTCTGTCCATAACAGTTCTTGTTCACTCTTAAAAGCTGATTTAGAGGCTATCAATTTTCTTCTGACAATTAGGCATATGCAGTGTTAAAATTTATTTTTATCTTAAAGCAGGAATTACAAAACATTCCCCTTCAAAAAACACACGCTTTACATCTTACACTGCATGATCAATTTCATAAAAACTTACTTTCGTAGTGTATTTCAATATTTTAGGCAAGTTCATGTTGCTTCATTGTTTTGGTAGTCTTTAATTACTATTTTTTCCCTTAACCCACCTCCTCCACCCACCTTTACCTTTTACAATCCCAAATGGCATGGCATTGTTAGGAGTAAAACTTCGTATCCAATCAGTGGTAGAACTTTCCTATATGTTTCACATATATTAGGTGTATTTGTTTTCTTTTAATTCTATTACTCTCTTTTAACAAAAAAACTTGCTCTTTTTCTGGAACAAACGACTTTATACAGGATGCTACTTTTATGTGTTGTTTTAAGTCAAAAGAAATGGGAAGTTCTTGTTAAAGTTTGATATTTTGCATCCATTTCTGTGTCTAGGAATTTCCATGACAGTTTTGATCTTAGTTTGTGCTGTTTTGTATTAACAAATGAAATACTCTTAGCTGGACTTCATACTTAATTGTTTCAATCTAAGAAACAACTTCAAATATGTAGTTCTTACTAGCTTTGTACACCTTCAAAATTTAGGATATCTGTGTTTGAAAAGGGTGCTTCATTTTCTCCCACTGGGTAGTACTTTTGTCTTTTCTTTGTCGCTCAGTGTTCTGTTCAACTTTTTTTGCCCTTATGTTCTATAATGATTTGCCACCTCATCAATGGATAATTCATTCCTGCTTTCTGTGCACATAAATTGCTGTTGTATACTTGGGATCAAAGTATGTTCTTCTGTGGTTTCAGACATTACTGCTAAATCTGAAGCCTTGACTCTTTCTACTGTGTTATCATTGTGTCCCAATGTGTCATTTTAAAGCATTTATTTCCCATGTAGAAAAATGTTTTATGAACATTTCAAGTGAAGAATTCCTTTTCATTGGGCAAAGGAAACCAGCAGGAATGTTATTATGAAACTTCAAGTATGAATCATTCCTAAGACTATTTTTCTAGCAGTTTTAGATTTTATCTATCTATCTCTTTAATTTGTTGCCGTTGATCATTTTAATTTAGTAACAATAACATAGGTTTGCAGCCAGAAATTTGGTGCCATACAGTATTGGGGCATGTGAGCTGGCTGTCCAATTAATTATCAAAGATTTGAAGTATGTTTAGGTGTAAGTTACCACATTTTGCACAATTTCAAATGTTATTTATTATCATCACCTTAAGCAGCTCAACTACATCTTGAGATTTTGTCTTGATCCCTAACAAAGACTTGTTTCTAGATTTTTCCAAATTCAATGCCTTGCTAAAGTGTTACTGATATTTTTAAGATGGTACTGGTAAGGTAGCTGTCGCACTTTATTGTATTGTGAGTGTTCAGGATACATTTCATATGGTTTAGATTTTACAATACTCAGGTGTGGTAGTGTTTTTGTTATTGATTGTGTAATTCAGTCTAATATGCAAATTTCTATTTTGTACAGTGTCTGTGTTCCCTATGTCTTGTGTAATGCATGCTTTGTTTTAGAATCGGTCTTAAAAGACGCTTTGTTCAGTGTAAATTGGACTTTAATTTACGATCTTGTTTCTCTAGCCTCCGTCACCTTTTTTGTTTTGTTTTTCAACGGGGAGGGAGGGGCAGGGGGGTGAGGGACTCTGAAGCCTTCAAAATTATCCACAAAACAAATTTACAGACAACAAATCAGAGCTCTGCATAATCGCCTTTATACCGACTACGTCGGTGCTGTTGGCACCTATCGGCTGCCAGGTGAGATGTAAAAAGGAAATCTAGAAAAACTCTACAAAAATAAAGGCCATGTTCTGTTTGACTCTAGAGTAACCAGACTGTATTTTAAAAAATCTGTGGTTTCTGTGATGTCTTCAGTTTAAAAAATCTATAAGGGCATATCATGAAAAACTGCAAAACCTATTAAAATGTCTTTGAGACATGACATACTTCAGGAAAGAATTGGGGACACTGTTTTTGGCAGTCACAGAAACCATTATTTGTATTAGGTCCTCTTTGTCAATGTGTTTTAGATGCTCTTTAAATTTGTAGACAGTGTTTTTTATTTAGGCAGAGTAGTTTTCACTTCTGGTGTTTCACCTTGGTGCTGCCAGAAAAGAGAAAAAAAAAAGGTAAAAAAAGAAAGAAGAACAATCTCTAAAGTGAAATTTGCAATGTTTTTTTTTCTCTTGTTTCTTTGAATTTCATCATACACTTTATGATAACCTGTGAATGGATTATTTCCTAGTTGTTTCCTTCATTATTAACTTGGGAAACATCTGGAGG